CTGAGATGTTTTCTAGCAAGCACTGTGACATTGATTTCAGCAAGGCCACGCTTTCCCTGGCCAAATGCCTCTTCCTGGGCATATTTTAAGTACTTTAAAATACCTTCTGCAAGACGCTCCTCTACATATAAACTTAGTCATGATGTAAATAATCAGAGATATGAAGAGTCACAAACTGTTTTAAAGCAGAATTTTACTCAGGCTGGCTGAGCTGCGTGTTCAGTGGAATTTAAGATGTTGAGGTTCAGTTCAAGACATTGTGAGTCTTTTAAAATGCTAATTTCTTTTAATATTCAGAAAAACCAATTGAAGTGGAGTTTATCTTGTCTAATGTTGGGAACTAGAAACACTGCTGAGAACCACTTTGGAGGGAGATGTCTCCCAGTGTCCAACTTTGTTCTCTACAAGTAAATGCTACAAAATCTTCATTTTATTTGTTAGACTTATTAAATACTTGTGTTGAAAGAAATCTTATTCTATAAATTACGTAGGTCACTTCATTTGTTTTGGGAGTTGTTACTGATTTTTATGTGGTTTCATTTGCTTTGGGAGTTGTTACTGATTTTTATGTGGTTCAAGCTAAATTCAGCTGAAAAGTCATGTTCCTCATTTTAAGGAAAGAAAAAAGGTGCAAGTTCCTGGGTTTTGTAGATGAAAACCATACAAGATTTTATAATTGTCCCCAAAAGTTAAAAGATCAAGTGCTTATTTGTTTTTCCATGAAAATTTCCTAAAAGTCGTGCCTTGTACTTTGCATTATCTATTGTAATGTTAAATAGAATAGCATTCTCAACTAAAGAAAGAAAATAAACCCCTGTGGTTTACAAATAAATCTCAAACATTTATTAATAATATTTAATTTTTTGTGTTAATGAATTTTTTTTTTTTTTTAAAATGTGCTCAGTGTTTAGACAGTACCTGAAGATAACTACTCAGTTTCACCTTTGCATCTAGCATATTTAGGTTTTAAATTTACTTGCGTGGAGCTAAGATAGCTTGATTAACATGCCTATCCAGGAGTGTTCCATTTCAGATTTTAAAAGAGTCAACAAATGCTAGAAGCATTTGAAAAAATTTAATTATGTATACATTTTTTTTTCTGAACCTGAATTTTGAGCCAAGAGGGCTGAAAGTTTGTTATCACTTTCAATGCAAAGTGTTAAAATGCAGGACAAAAAGAATCGTAATTCATGTATTTGTTTATGTTATTCAGAGTTGTGTAAACATACTTTTGCAACAAAATAGTGTATTTTAGCAAAATGAGGACAAGAAAGCAGTTTTAATTCAAATTTTTTTTTCATTATGTATTTAATTGGAGTTTTTGAAGCACTGAAACTGACATTGTTACACTGTCGGATGTGGCTGCTCTCATCAACTGGTCTGTTACAGCAGTGGTGCAACTTTGAACTTTGCTGTGATGAATAATATGGTACATAGCAGTTTTATCCTGATGTATAAATTAAAATTTCAATAATTACTTAACACTTTTTTGATGGTAATCACAAGCTTTCCTTTCTGTATACTGTCCTCCACCTGCTTTCTTGTTTTCACCTCTTTCCCCCTTCTGTCTTACTCTTTGAGTCATCATCCATAATGTCACATTGTTTTGCTGTCACATACTGTTCCTTTGCTTTCTTGTTTCTTTGTGTCATGCCTCACATTTGGTGAAGAAAACTTCTCAAATCGGGCTTTTTATGGTCCTGCAGCTTGTGTGCTAGAGCCTGAGGTTGGTTGTCTCTACCAGTATCTTCTGTTGGAGGAAGGAGCAGACAGGAAAGGGACTACTAGTAATATACTAAATGTTGCACGAAACACACACAAACGATGTATTCCGTGTTCTGCGCTTTGGAGGTCAAGCTCCTGAAGGAAGAAGACTGCATCATAAAAAGTGTCAGGAATTTGATTCAGTAAATGGCTTTTCGCTCCTTTTGAGTTAGGGTTGAAGGAATCGAGACAAGCTGATGCTTCATTCCCCCTAAAATGTCTGACTGCCTACCCTGATGGGTAGACTTGATACCTGATGTCTGCCTGTCTGGCAGGTGAAGAAAGAAGATAGCATGACCATCACAGAAGTGAGGCAAGGAAGATGGGGAGTAGGAATGAGCTAGGTGTGATCTTTGGAAGTTACTGTCAGACGATCTCGTACTGTGAGTAACTCTGGGTGTAGGTAGGCAGGAAGAGGTGGTTAGGCAGCGGCTGTAGCTGTCAGCAGTCACGTGACTGTGTAGATGGGAGTTGTCAAATGGACATCACTTACCGTAACACTGCTGTTATTCACAACCAGCCACAGAACAAACAGCTACTGAGTTTAGCTCTTTTTCACTGTTCTGATTATTGAGAGGCAAGGCAGGGAGGATTTCAGAGGTAACTGTGCAGTTAGCTCTCTGTAAGAAATAATTTTGTTAGAATGCCCTTTGTAGACGAAGAAGATTATTTCACAGTTATTTTCATCTCTTTCCCATGGCAGGTTTATTTTCTATTGCATATTTACTGTTACTTTTTAATTTCTGAAGAGATAGTGTATTCTAGTTGGGTTGAATAACTCTGAAGGAGATATATTTTTCTTGTATTTAATTTAAATATATTCTTTAGTCATAGTTATGATTCCATTCCTTGATGTTTCTGATCTATGTGTGTCTTGTGAACAAGAACCAACAGTATTATTTGACCTGTAATAATTTTTTAGAGGTGGGATGTACTTACCTGAATATTTTATTCTTTGTCTTAAGGCAGTTCCTCCATTGTATTTAATTTATACTTTAACAAGTTGGTGTTTTTCTTTACAAATACTCAAAGCAAGTATGTGACGTTGACTAAAAACTTAAAGTTCTGTTATTTTTTTAAAAGTGGATTGGTTTAAAAAGTGCTTGCTTCAAAGAGACCTGATTCCTGATCAATGCAAAGCTGGTGATACACTAAGCGAGGATACACTGCCCTCTTATATCTCCCCCCTTCTCCAAATACTTAAAATTATTTGTTTCTGATAAGCCCTTTCGTCGCTTATTTTCATTTATCTACTAATCCCTTGCATTTACTATGTTTGGTTTTTTTTTTTGTACCATTCTCTTCTCCGCTCACATGTAGCAATTTGTTTTCCCTTTTCTGTATGTTCTTTTGCTTTTTCTTTCAATCCGCTCTGAAGTGTAAGGAGAAATTCAGCAACATTGCTTCTAAGCAGAAATTCTCTTTACATGGTGATGCCTGCAGAATGAAACTGTCCAAGCATGTTGGAGAGATGTCACTCTGATCACTTCTAGATAGGAACATTTTACTCACTTATTTAATGCATTGGGTATCAGCTGTTGAAAAAGAAGTAATCTGTTAAAAACAGTCCTGAAACTTTAAGCCCTCTGTTGGTTATTTCTTAATTTATACATTATTTTGTCTTTGTTGTATGTGTGAGGTCAGAATCTCTTGCTTCACGTTACCAAACAGACCTGGAGCCTTTCCTGTTCCTTGAGTGGAGATTGTCTTATGTATGGATTTTGTTATGATTTGTTTATACAGTGTTTAGCACATGGGGAAAAAACCTGTCTTTAGAGGGCAATAGCTGTAGTTAGTGGTGTCTTTGGCCATAAATACTGTCTTTAGAGGAAAAGATGGTTAACTTTGTGGGATTTTTTTTTTCTTTATGCTTGCTCCAGTAAATGATCTGAAATAGAAACCCAATTTAAAATTCCTTTTTTGCATCTATGTTTTTCTTTTTTCATTCTCTCTTGGTGGTCTGCGCTAAAGTATTTTCTGCCATAAGGAAACTAGGAGAGTCATGAACTTCCTTCCTCTGTATCATCAAAAAAGAAATGCAGAATTGTTTTGCCCTCGGTTTTTGTATCTGCATATAGACATTGAAAATACTCCAGCACGGTTGTTTTAGATGTGGTTAAATATTTTATAAACATTTGTTTGCCAACTTCAAATTTATTTTTATGTATTCAGATATAATACACTTTCAGCTTGAGTGTGTTTTATTTCTTAACTTCTCTAGGCTAATAAGGGCATAGGGAGAAAAAGGAAGTAGTTATATGTGTCATAGAAGGAAAAAAAGAAAATAGTTTCCTTAAAACTATTGTCTGTTTTAGACTGGATTTGGGAAGGTGCCAGGGTACTTTCAACTCTTATTGTCTGCAGTGGGAGCTGAATACTCTGTGTCAGAAAGGAATTATTTTGTGTGTTTTCTTGGAAACCACACAGAACCATCCAGTAAGAGATTCTTGCAAATAAAGCTTTGTTTGTATTTTGTAATCTATGTGTACTGATTTAAGATTGTGGATTAAAAGCTAATGCACAGGTTTTCTGTTGTAATGGTATTGTCCTTCAGAGGCCTCGTGAATACTTTAGTGTTCTTTCTTTTTCTCTGTTGGAGAGATCACTGTCCTGAAAGTTTCAGTTTGTAGCCTTAATTTGGGTGAAGAGTTCAAAATTTTAAAAGAAAAAATTCCTTCCATTTATGTTATATAAGTCTGTTTTGACATCTTTTCTGAACAAGTTTTGAGGAAAAGAATAAGTAAATATAAGAGCTTAATGCTTTTTTGCAAGTTAGACAAAAGCATGGGGCTTTGGAACAGTATGTGATTGCTTTGAATGTGCCACAACTTGCTGTGCGCACCTGGGCCAGTGACTTACATATGCTCCAAGCAAGGAAAACACTTGACAAACATTTGGTAGGATTGGGACCCTATTATGTTTCAGCTCCCCCATTTGTAAATGGCTGATGTTTGCCTAGATTTTTGGGATGCTGAGAACACGAACCTGGACAGGGACCAGTACAGTTTGCTGCTGTTTGCCTGTCCCTTTTCTTTTTACAGAGCTTCCCTCCATCACTATGCTTTTGAGAGGGCTGCGTTACAGGTATTTGTAAGAGCAGAAAATGATTAACGCTTACTTTTCTCCAGTGTTTTACGTGTTACAATCCCCAAAGTGAAGTCTAGATTAAATATCATGAATACGTTTGAATCGTGTTTAAGTGAAAATGCAATTGTGTCTTTATTTGTGCTTTATAGGAAGAAAAGGCTTCTCTCCTGCATCGTACTCAGGAAGAAAGGAGAAAACGAGAGGTAAAGTAGATTGTAAGCGTTTTCATGCACACTGGATTTTTCTTTGATGTAGTAACATTTACAGTCCAAAGTACTTTATTCTGCTGCAGTTGTACCTAGTTCAGGAATGTTTTCTTTCAGTTTGCAAGTTCTACATAGTCTTCCAGTATACTAGAATTGAGAAACTGTTTGACTGCTTTTAAGGTGCTTCACAGAAGTGATTTTCATCTCAAAAGAAGGTAGTTAGGGGTGCACTGGGTGCAAAGGGAATTTTTCCTCTTAGTTTGGTGCTTATTTGATCTAGTCTTTGTTGAGAAAAGATAGATACTTGGATAGTAAATTGCATTTTTTGCCTTGTCCATAATCTATTACTATGGGTTGGTCTCGGCAAACCGTCTTCTGCTCCTGGATCTGCTATGGTTTCTTGGATGACCTTCAGCAATTCACTTCCCCAGTGTGTGCCTCAGTTCTGTGGATGTAGAATCAGAACAATGATACTTGAATGCATCTTAAAGTGCTTTGAAATCACCTGATAATTGAGGAGCAATGAGAAGCGGTTGTGAAGCTGACATGTGAGACTTTAGGAAATCTTAACACTGGTTTGAGATGGAAGCTTACTGTCATGGATAATTCAGTCTGGAATAATGCAGAGGAGGAGTAGGCATTGAAAGGAAAAACACCAGTTTTAAAACATTAATATATGTGGCAATATGAAAACAAAATTTAGTAACATGGAATTAAAGTGAATATGTTCATGTTGTCAATTTTTCCCCTCTGATATGAGTAGAAACAATTTTGGTCTTAAAAATGATTTTAAAAGTGTAACTGTAGTTTTCATGCTAATCAAGAAAACAGAGCTGTTTGCCCCTTAAAGATATGTTTGACCCTTGCTAGGTTAAATATAGGTTCTGCAGTGGCTCCTCTGTTTCTGAGGACAGTTACTGCTTTTTTTTCTTTCTAACTTGGATGTATAATTATGGACCAAGTTTAAGTATGAAGTTACTAGGATTTTGCCAGTTAGTTCAGAACGTTGTGTTATGATTCAAATTTATGACCAGTGATTCCTTACCAACATATGCAAAAAGACTTTTTGTGCTTCATAAACTTTTTGCCATATATTGAAATAACCCATTCAGTTGCTTAATTCTGTCTGCTGCAAAGCTGATGCAGAGTCATATGTGTATATGTACACACATACACACAACGATTTTCTGTAGCATATATCAGATTCTCACAAAATGAATGACTGCCGTGAGGATAAAATCAGTTATGGCTTTTAAAAAAAATGCCTGTAGCAGAATCTTAGCAGTGACCTCAGACTTAAAACCTTTGCAATTACGGGTCGCTAATTGACAATTATTTATTCTAGGATAAAACCTTTATCTAGAGAAAAGGAGAACATACCTACTTTTTAGTCGAGCATTACATTATGATTATGAAGAGGCAGTGCCTCTCTGTTATTGAAACTCTCTCCTGCTTGTCCTCATACTTTGCACTTTTACTGTTAGATACTTTGGAGAGAAAAATGTCCTTTGGCCTATCAAAATTTTGATTTTGTCCATGCTCTAGAGGTAATTAGAGTCTTTCAAGTATATGCTTATTCAGAAAAATTGCTTTAGGAACCAGTGTTTCTAAGAAAAATAAAATAGGCATTGGATAGCAATTCATCTGGTGTTTCTCTGGTCACAATAAAAAAGAAATCAAGTTTTTGTGAGTTTAGAAATTTCATTAAAATACATTTGGGAATCTTCACAAAGTTTCAAAACATTTCGGTGTTTTGTTTTGCTTGGTGGCCCTCAGAATTATGGGCTCATTATAGTTCAAGGATTGATTAGGTTAAAATTTCTCTTCCCAAAGCAGGCTTCTCTGATTTTTACTCTTGATATTCCTACTTTCCCTTCCTCAACCGCTGCTTTGTAGCTCTAGCTTCTGAGCAACTATTTTATTAACTTCTCTCTTTCATCCCCTAAGAAACTGTATGGACATTATTAGAAACGTAATTACAGTAGCCACTTCCCTTAGATATTTATTGTGATGGGATATGCTGGGGGTGTTGTCAGGGGACCCACTGAGTGCTCTTTCCATAGTACCTGAAGCAAGCTGGCTTTCAATTCCTCGGAAGGTGAGCCATTGTAAAGTGATGATTTTGACTACTCTTTCTAGCTACTGAGGAAGACATCACAAAATGACTCACTTTATATGTCTGGTTTGAAGGAGAGGGCAAGAATTTTTATTAATTTCCATATTGTGCTCCTGGGCTTAAAACATTAAGCCTCATTTTCCTTTTGACAGCAGTATTGTCTCCAAATAACTGATTTTTTTTTTTTTTTGTGGTTTGTTTTTTTTCCCCACATCTGAACTGCACCAGCCTCGTAATACTGATACATTATTTGAATGGAAGCAAATAAGCAGGTCTTCAGTGTTAGCTGATCTATGCAGAAAGAAGAACAGTGTCATTGAATTTGATGAATTCTTCAACATTTTAGTATTAAGTACATTAAGTATTAAGACTTTGTCTAATAAAATACAAATGTGTTTATTTTGACTCCTGTAGTCTTACATACTTATTGAGTATTAAAAATTCTTTTGCGATACCTTAATGGTAAATTTACACTTAAAAACATAAAAAGTTTTCTCCCTGATTTATGAGTATTGGATGCAAACCTTGAAACACTTTATTTTACTAATGATTAGTGCTTAATTTTCACTAAAAAACTCCTTTTGAATACAAATCTATTTGATAAAATTGTAGGAATTAGAGTCAGTTCCACAACGTTGATTTTGATTTTTCTTGCTTTGTTTTACAGGAAGAAAGGCGGAGGCTGAAAAATGCAATAATAATCCAGTCATTTGTGAGAGGGTACAGAGACAGAAAACATCAAGTAAGTATTTATTTAGAAAGATGTGAAACAGTTTTTCTAGTAATAAAGAATTTCATTGAAAAATCTTCACCTTTTTGAGTATTGTGTGTGCCCACAAAGTCCAAGTTCTTTTTTGCCCCTGACGTTTTCATTTGAACCTCAATATTTTAGTAGATGGATGTTTATTCTGCAAAGCATGTATGTGACAGTGGACTTCAGTGGGATTACGCAATGTTTTTTTGAGCTGACAAAGCATATGAAAACAGGTATCAGCAGCTTTCACACGCCAGTGAAGCTTTTTTCCCCAATATGACTAAGGTGGTAGTTTGAGTCAAAAAGACGTTCTTTCTAAGCTGCTGTTGGGTAGATTATTGTAAGAAAGAGTTGTATCTGTTTAAATTCACCAATATTTATTGAGTAAACTAGATGAAAATGTTTGATGTGATATTCTTTACTTGAAAAGCAACAAATTTGTTGCAATGTGTACTTTTTGAATTACTGAAAGCAATTACGGCTTTAACTATGATATTGTATATATGTTTGATCTCTTAACAAATGCGTTGTATTCATTTTACTACTTTGCTACCACTTTGGATGAGAAACTGAAATGAGGTTTTTAAAATTTTGCATCTCTGTTTTAACTCATAACCATTATTGATATATTGATGCATGTCTTATTTTTATTTTAAGTACTCTATCCAAAGAAGTGAATTTGATCGCTGTGCTAATTTGGCCCAGTCTGGAGGAACCTTTTCCACTGCTAATGGAGCTAATTTGACCCTTTTAGTTCGTCAGTTACTCTTTTTCTATAGACAGAATGAGGATTCTAAACGTTTGGTGAGTACTGTTATATACTTTGATCCGTAGTACTTTTATTTCATGCACTTTCAAAGTACTCTTTCACTTAGAAGATTTTGAAGGGATGCAAAAAAGGCTTTGACTGCTTTAGTAAATTCATTTAAGAATTCTGGCTTTTGCTGGCCTGCACTCTCCCGTACTCTGCTGTTTTTTGTTTAGACAGAATAACTTAAGATTAGATTTTATATGTGCGCACACACACACACACAATCTGTGAAATGAAGCCTTGGAAAATCCTGTGTATTATTCACAGTAATTTATCAAAAATAATATACTTCTATTAGAATTGAATTTTTAAAAAATATTTTCCACTTAGCTCTCTGGTCATTCCTAAGGTGTTTGGTTGGTTGGTTTTTTTTTTTTCCTCACTGGTCAATAATGCTGGCGTATCAATTGCAAAATAACTGCAAGCTTCCCAAATGTACAAGTAAGTATGATTCATAATGGGTATTAATAATGGACATTAAAGAATTATGGCTATTTAAAAACAAAAAATTAACAGATGAATTTGTTGCAAGAGTAAAGTTATTTGTAAGTGTAATTCAGTCTTAACTAATACTAGCAGTTGTGTAGTTTGTGGTGTAACAATTTTTTTCTCAGCTGAACATGATTGTCTTACTTTGTGTTTTGTAAGTCCTCCAAAAGTATCCAAAACAGGATTGCAATATTACTGTCTGTGTTGCAATAAATAATATAACTTGTTGTTATAAACAGTCAACATGCATATCTTTTCCCAGGTGTGGATGTGTCAGAATTTAATAAAACAGAGTTCTCAGTTTGTTAAGCAGTTGGATGGTCCAGACAGACTTACTTGCTTATTCCAAATAAAAGGACTGTTGGGTCTGTGTTGCAGGTAAATTCTTTTTTCTATGTGCTACTTTCTAAAAAGTGTTCAGAAATTATGTTAGGTACTTGTTTGTTTCTTTTTGCAGCAGATGAAGTATTAAATGTAAATTTATTTTATGGAGAGGACTGTTTATGTTAAATATATATGTAGGCTGTGGTATAGGATACTTGTTCCTATGTGAGAACAATGGAATGTTCTTAAGCTTCATTGACTTTCAAGTTCAACATGTACTTAAGGGGTGCCCTGCCTAGGGGTAGGCTTGAGTATGTTCTTAACTTTTTGCTCATAGCGATATCATTAGCAATATTTGTGGAAACCAGAAGGTTTTCTTGGGAACTGATAGTGATTAGAAGGTATTATCTGAGTTAGACTCATGTTCCAAGGATATGCTTTGGATATGTTTTGTTTTAAAACTAATACTATTTAAGATGCCTTTCCGCACACTTTATTTTGAATTTAAGGCATGTTAAGCAGTTACATTACTGGCTTCAGCAGTACATTTATTATTTGTAGCGGGAGGATCCTGGGAGGATCACAGGAAGGTAAATCTGTCAAGGCGACTTGAAGAGCTGGCAGCTAAAGCCTAGTTTTAGAAAACAATATATTTGCTCTTATCAATAATAGGAACTAGTTATTCTCTCCAGAGCTTTAAAATAGTTTTTTTCCTTTTAATGTTGAGGCTTTTTAAGAAAATTGTTTCATTCGAGTCACTGAACCTTGTGTTCTTATAATTGTGTATGCTGTATGTATAATAAACAGTGACACCAGATACTAAAGAAGACTTGAGTGGTGGGCTTCAAAGTCCACGTACGTTGGAACACAGCTGTGGCGTCACTGGATTAAATTGTACATTTTCACTACAGTTGAAATTTTGGTTTCGTGAATGCAGCTCTGCTAGTATTCCCACTCTCCCTTCCTGACTGGGTGACGTGGGAAAACAAAAGCAGTGGAAGAGATGTCCTTGCCTATACATTTAGGGAGAATGAAAGAAGAAGCTCTTCTTAACTTCACCTTGCCAGCTTGATGATGGGTGTCTATACTTGCTTTCTGAGCTACTTTAATTTTCTGCAAAAGCCCAGAAAGTGAGCAGTGGGACGGGTAGCCAAAAAAGTATTTCCCTATGATAAGTTCAGATTCATGAGAAGCTGTAGCTTTTGATGCTATGGAAAAAAAAGGTGACTGTGTAATACCATAGCAAAAATGGTAGATTGATTGCAGCTACATCTGCAAAAAATGATCTTGTTGTCAGAGTATTTTTTTTTCTGTTTAGTAAAATGTCTTAACTATGGTGTCAATATAATTTTTGCTGATAGGTCCCGTTTTTCTGAATGTCTGGGAAAGAAAGCACATTGTTAGGGCAACTATGCCTATATACATCTCATACTAACAAATCCTTTTAATTCTAAACAGCCTCTTAATCTTCACCATTTCTGTCATTACTGGTAGTTGTTTCATAAGCAATTTGCTAAAAGGATGGGGATGGTTGTATTTTAATATTTCGGTCTGTAATCAAGGACATACTGTTTTAGTTATACATATGACGTGCCCCAGCGTTTGTTCCCAGCCCATATTGCTCTGGGGCTTTTATGACTTCATTTTTAATATGGGTAGTAATACATGTTGGAAAAACATGTATTGTTCTTTGCTTCTCTTCCAGTTCATGCAGTAGACCTCCAAACTGTCAAGTCACTGAAAGCAAGAATTTAGTATGATTTAAAGAGAGTGTGCCATATTCATAGAAACCCTAAAATCAGGAATTACTATTATAAAGATGCCAACAAAAAGATGTAGCTAAACTACTGAGAACACTTGGAAACCGAGTAGAAATAAATTATTTTAAGGTGAACATGAAAAGTTTTTTTTGTAGTTTTATTTTTAAACCAGTGTGCATATGCCTGTGGTGAAATAAGAGAAATATCTTGTTAAATAATTTTGATTTCATTTCATTTATAGGCTATTGCAAAATTGCAGTGATGACAGTCTGAATGTTGCACTTCCTATGAGAATGCTTGAGGTATTTTCATCTGAGAATACGTATTTGCCTGTTTTACAAGATGTCAGCTATGTGACATCATTAATTGAACAAATTTTGCACTACATGATTCAAAAAGGTGAGTAGCTAGGAACTAGAGGTTCTGCGAAATACTCAAAAGTTAAACAGAATGCGTCATATCTGAAGGCCATGTTGTTTAATCATGTTTTGCCTTTACCACAAACACAATGAATTAAGTGCTACATACACTAACCTGTACATTAGATGGATGTTTTGCTTGTAATGAGATCACTGCTTGAGAAATTACTGTTTGATTTCTTTGGAAATTCTGTTTATAAATTGAGTATTCTGCCAAGTTACTTACACAGACTTTTACCACAGATTTTGAGAGTAGGTGGATATTACCTAAGAGAAATTTTATTCCAGCAGCTGTTTACACACACACACGCGCATGTACATGTGCATATGCACACACGCACACACACACCGTGCCAGGTCTAAGTTTTAGTTGTGTAAAAGTTGGGCATTGTTTTGCAGTACTGTTCTCTGTAACTGCTAATGTTCATTATTATTGTAAATTGGTGTTACCTTTTCATCCTGCTAACACTAGAGACACCTTAGCAAAGAGATGGTGACCTAGCTTTTATTTCCCTTGTACCATCATCAGCAAAACTGTTTGCTAAACTGCAATCAGTTACACCTGTGTAAACATACTGAAAGTTAATGAATTGTGTAGTTATCACCAGAATTATGTCTTGTCTCGAAGAAACTCTATTGCTCTGGGAATGTGCGAAAAAATTAATTTGGCTTTCTGATACAGTAGCTTGAGTTTGCAAGACTTGTGGATAGGCAGAAAAGACAAAAACATTATGAAATAAACATCTGTGATCCGGCTTCATTGGTGTAAAATGTAAAAAGAGCACCTTCCAGTTTATTCGTTAATTGTTGGAATAATTCTGTGCTTGTAAGTTTTAAAGTACATTCAGTGGACTAGGCTATCTTATCCTATTACTAAGGATTTGGTTTTAACTACTACATGTTGAAGTCACTATGAGGAAAAAAAATGATTGTTATTGTAGCACATTTATTTTACTTTCCAGGCATAACTAAAACTATAGAAGTATTTGAGTTTGTCTCATTGCTTACTATATAATAAGTATATCTTCCAAAATACTTTAATACATTATACTTTGTTCTTTTAGTATAATATTCGGTCCTCATAGCTGATTATGAAAGATTATCAAGATGTTAGATCATAAATTTTAGTAAAAAAATTCAGCTTTCTGATCACTTACAGTCAAAACAAAAGAAGCAGTTGTGTGCAATTGTCTGCAAACAGATGTTCTGTCTCCTAATCATTTATGATGGTTAATTTGTAAAGAATCTGTAATCAGCTTTTATTAGTATATGGTTTTGTATGTAATTTGTCTTCCATGTGCGTCTTGTCAGCATTGCTAAGTTATTCCTTTATGGTGACTTCCACTTGTTGCATTGTGTCAAGTTAGGTAGTCCCCAACAAAGGGTTTTAGACTGGACCTCTCAATAATGCAACACTATTTATGCATTTACAGTGGTTCTTGTAGGAGTGGAATTTGAGTCTTTGTTTAGGAGTTCATTGAGCAAGAGGAAGTTGGTTTAAGAAGAATGAAATCATGTGATTCCATTGGTACTTTAGTGAGACAAAAATAGATTACCGTCTACACATGTCTTTATGGCTTGGGTGGTAATGCATTTTATTACTGTCTGAGAGATCCCTGTTTTTGGAACAGTAATTGTATTCTTCAGCCTGCTAAGGCAAGTTGTTTGTAGTATTGAGACATTCTGCCAACAGGACTCTTACCTCTATGATGTAGTCATGTTTTGGAGTAGAGGGGAAAATCCATGATTTCTGAAAGGGTGGAAGGACAGCTGTCAGAAACATGACTAGAGTCATTCAGAGGAGAAGAGAATATCTTTTTCATAGGTCATTGTTTAAAAAAATCAAATTATTCACTTCAGCAGCAGGAGTGGTCAGTCTCTGAAAAATCAAACTGACTCTGAATGCAATTATCTATCTATGATTTTATGAAGTGATGTTCCCAAAAAGGTTGTTGGTATATCCTGTTAGTTACGTGAATGTGACTTGGACTATTGTAAAATGTCTTCCTAAGTAAAGCTTCATGCAATGAATTGTAAAGTATTTTTCAAGTTAAAAATGTTAAGGATATGAGTTTTTTCATACGGAAAAGAAGAAAAATAATACTGTATTTAAAAAGTGATATTTCTTATTTGCAGGCTACTACAAGTCGCTTTATTTGTTAATTAACAATAAGCTTCCCTCGAGTATTGAATATTCTGATGTTTCTCGAGTCCCTATTGCAAAAATACTTCTGGAGAATGTTCTGAAGCCATTGCACTTTACGTATAGCTCTTGTCCAGAAGGTGCAAGGTAAATAAAGATAATATTAGATACTTGTATACTTATTTGTTATTGTCAGAGGTGCACAATTTGTTGTTGTTGAGTGTCTAGCTATTCTTTCAGTGCAGTTTGATCTATTTGCAATAGTAATGATTTTTTGGTAATGCTTTTCGTCGATGAAACAATGTAGTTTCAGGTGTGTTTAAGAAAAAGGCAATAAAATGCTGAAGACTACAATAAACAACACAGAGAATAGCAGGTATTGCAATATGTAGGAACATAGGTGTGGAAAAAAATAGATGAGAGCAGAGATGCAGCTAAGGGCAGATGAAAAGAATTTTAGAGTTAAAAGGAACTTTGTGGCAGAGGAGCTAAGGTTTATGAAGAGAAATAATTAAGTCATAGCTTACAAGAAGAAAGAGTCAGGTATGGAGAAAGACAGAACAAAAGTCAAAGTCTGGTTGTATCATATGTGATAGTGTTTTGTGTTAAAGTAGTATTTTTGGGGAAAAAGACTAATTATGCTTTTAAGATTTTTTTATTTCGAGAATATAAACAATGAATTTAACTTCAGAATAGTTTTCTGTGAGTTCATGAAAAGTTTAAAGGATAAAATTAATGTAAGATCGTCAGGAAAAGCATGTAGGGTAAGAAGTTAATTTTTGAGAAATCTGAGAAATTTGGTTTATTAGCACAGGATTAGTGGAGCGCATCTTTCCAGTCTTCTTGATGGACGTGTTCAAACTTGCAAATTGATCTATTATTCCATGGATATAATTGTGAGAAATTTTGCCTGTATTTTCTATAAAGACAATTTTTCTTCATTTCAGGCAGCAGATTTTTGCAGCCTTCACAGAGGAGTTTCTGGCAGCACCTTTTACAGATCAGATATTCCATTTCATCATTCCAGCGCTTGCTGATGTGCAGACCATTTTCCCTTATGAACTCTTTCTGAATGCACTATTATTAGCAGAAAGTGGATGTTCAAGAAGTGATCAAGCCCCGTGGCTTTTTTACTTTGTGTTAACAGTTGGAGAAACATATTTGGGTGAGAAAGCTGAATGGCCAATTCATTGTTTTTTCATACTTGAGTTAATGTATTATGTATTTTCACAACCTGGTTCACTGCCAAGCAAAAAGGACAGTTTGTGGATAAAAGTATTGAAGAGATCTGTTTTATTAGCTATTCTTGCCTTTTTCAGTAAAAAATACACTTAATTTAGGAAGATTTGGCATAATGTGTTTTGGTCAGGTATTTCTGGTAAAATATATTTTATAGTACAGTGTGATCTGTCTAACGATCTTTTATTTCAATGTATGTGCTATAGGGTCCCTTTCAGAGGAAGGACTTCTTGTGTATTTGAGGGTACTCCAAACTTTTCTCTCTCAGCTGCCTGTGTCTACTGCTGGTACAAATTGTCAAGATGCAAACAGCGATTCTGAAGATGAGGATGAAGAGATCAGTAAAATGACAACTACACCAGTAAGTACAGAATTTCTTTGAATGAATTTGTATTTTAGCAGCAACAAATACAGGCAAAAACATGATCACTGTAAGACTTGTATTTTTCTAGCTACATGTAGAAGGGAGCATGTTTACTTCTTAAAAATAGATGGCTTCTCACTGTAAGCAAATGGAACTGGTTGCTTACATTAAAAACAAAACCCTTACTGTAACAAGAAACCTTAAAGTACAGGTAGTGTGTCTGCTGAAGGACAGAGCTTTTATTTAACAAAAAAAGTTTAAACTTCTCTTCTTTAAATTTGTATTTTACAGAGACTGTATTACTCTCTGTATTCTTTAAGACCGTGATGATGCTAAGGTATCGTGAAACATACCAATCTGATCTTCCAACTTAGTATTTTCGTGTTTTTTTTCTCATGGAAATATTACAAGTTCAACTACAGTCTTTACCCTTTAGAATTAGCTCTGTATTTAAATATATCCACTACCTTGAAAGCCCTCAGAGGGGGAACACCTGCTCTCTATAATAATGTATAGAGATTGTATTATAAATAGAACTTTTCACTATAGTTTAAACTTCCACCAGTAAAATGAATCCATGCTAACTTTAACCTCCTAATACTCGGATCAAGGCTTTGAACAACCAAAGTTGGAGAGACGTAAATTCAACAGTTTCTTACTGGCCTTTATAATCTCTCAAAAGGCATTACCATTCAAAGGACTTATGCAGTCTACAGTCTTTCCTTGTGGAATGTCCGAAACTTCACCGTATTTAGGGTTCATTTTAAAAAAAAAAAGTCTCATAGATTATTTTGCCTCCCCACACTGAGCTGGGAATTCTGGATTCTGTGTGTCTCAGGCATTATAAGGCTTCCTGGCATTTTCTTGGTTAAGTGTTGAAAGCAAAAGCATACCAGCTCTTCTAAGAGATACTGTTCTTATAATGCCTACTTACATTTCATGTAAGGTTATGTACATTTCTGAAAGATGCAGCATTTTTAAGACCTCAATATTGCGAGTAACCTCTTATAAACAGCCATACTGCTGGGGAATACATGCCACCTTCTACTTGTGCATTTTTAGATGCAGTGTGTTAGCTTTACCCCAAAATCTCTACCAAGATAGTGTGAATAAAATACTTAATTTGCCAGACACGCACACACTGTACATGATGTAAATATTGGCAGATTCTACTTGTGGCTTAGAGATATGGGTGATTAGGTAAAAATAAAGCATAAATTTCTGTTCACAGGTAGCTTGCAGTTATTTGTAAATTAGAGAAAATCTGCAGAGCCTTTACTACATAATACTATTTATTGCAATATGTTTTTCATGTGTTTCTCCTATGAGTTTTTTATGTATTCCATATTTTCATGCATGCCTGTCTTACAAAAAAAAAAAAAAGGTGGGTGGATGGGGAACCCCTCTTTTTTAAAAATTCATAATTGGATAACTTGTATCCTTCAATGAGCCAGACTGCTTTCCTCTGTTGGGGGCAAGATAAAGAGAAGAAATAAGGAAAAGAAAAGCTCCACTCAGTTCTATGTCAAGAGAAAGCGTTCCTATTCGTACACTGCTGGTACTACCCAAACGTGTATTAGCCACCCTGAAGTTTTCTGTTGTTTGTTAACCCATGGATTACGAATGTGAAAATACTGTTTGTAAAGGAATTTACAGGAGATACCCATTTCTGGATTTCATGTCCAATGCTGACTGACGTCAGTGGGGAAGAGATGACTATTCGCATATTTTATGCCAGTAAATGATGTTGCCTTATTGTATCCAAGTGTTGCAGAACATGCTTACATTAAAGGGAGTCTTTCCCACCGGCCTAAGTGTAAAGATTGATATCAACCCAACAGTTGCCTACCTAGGGATATAAGTTGGCTCTTGTGTCTGATACTGTTAAAAATGCTACTGGAATATACATATGTGCTTACATTTTAATTACTGTACAAGAAAATTTTATGTTCTAGTAAAATTCTGAAGTTTTTTTTTTTTTTTAAGAAAAGGGGATACTTATTCATTAAAAAGACTTAAAGCAAATTTTTCTTTGATATATTTGTAGGGTGATGGGAGAATATCCGTTCAGTACATAACTGAGGAGTGTCTAAAGAAATTGGATACAAAGCAGCAGACAAACACTCTACTGAATATGGTTTGGAGAGATTCAGCTAGTGAAGAGGTCTTTACCCTGATGGCATCAATCTGCCACACGCTAATGGTGCAACACCGAATGATGGTGCCAAAAGTCAGGCAAGTATAAATAATAGTGATGTTGAACTGTAGTACATCTAAAATTGGTTTTATTAGATAGGCTTGTTTTAAATACCCTGTGGTTTTTTTTCTGTATTTTCTTTTATGATCAGCTGAAGGAAATAAGAATTTCAGAATTTAAATAGTAATTCCAGGCAAACCAAAGAGTGGATTCTCTCTGTTTCTTATTTTTCTTCTTGTTCATTTTGCTCTCTCTGGAGTAATCACTGAATCCAAAAGTGTAAGCTCTTGGTTTGTTTAGTGACTTGCGAGTAAGTTAGTATTCTATCACCACATTGAGGACTATGGAACAGGTAATGTTTGTGATCAGAAAATGACACGCAAATAGGGATTGCAAAGTTTCTTGAAGGGAGTTTATCCGTCCCCTTGCTCAGAGGCAGTGTTAAGTGTCATTCTAGCAGAAGTTTGTCTAGCTTGTTTTTAAAACTTTCAGTGGTATGAATTTCACAGTCTCTCTAGCTAGCAGAGCACTGAAACCAGCTTGTCCTCTACCCTCTTTAATATATAGCCAAAATCTCTCTTGCTACAAATTAAAACGATTCCTAACTATTGAAAAATACTTGTTGTTTGGGGAAGGGCTTTGGCACCTGAGATAGAGATAAAAGACTTGTTCATTTGTACAGCATTCTTTTACAAAGACTGCAAACAGCGAATATCGGTAACAATGGAAGAAGATTTTTGACCTTTTTATTATCAGACTAAGACCCATAAATATTAACACTGTTCTGGTGCAAGTAGTTTTGAATAAGTATGTAGTTGCTAGTAGTAAAGTAAGTATTTAGGGAATGTTGTAAACATAATCAAGTCAAACTGCATTGTAAACAGTGATACAGAAAACTAATTAGGTGCTATCTTAGCCCAATGGTGTTTATGGCTCTTAGAGGAAGTAAGATGTCAGTGAAACTGTGATTGCTCGATTAGGGTAATTAGTTCTTTGTAGACTAATTGCATTAAAGCAGGATGTGAGATCTGAAGATCATAGCAGCAGTTGAATTAGTATGCCCGCTTTATTGTTGCAAGTAGTACATTGCCTTGGATAGTAATTACTGAGTTTAAATGCATCACTGCTTTGACTTGAGGTTTGCTGGTGAACTGTGTGGAAAAGGGTGTTTAATGAATAAAGAAGTCACACAGAACTTTAATTGTATGAGTATGACATCTATTTCCTCTGAGAAGCCGTTTTGAGTCTTTGCAATTATTTGTGATAACAAGCTAGTTACACACTGGATAAATTCAGGAGTTGTGAAAGCTCTACTCAACATCTTATAACGGAAAGCAATTTACAAATTTTAACTTTTGAATAGCTCCAAAATAGTTGAAGGTACCCATTTTAGAAATAAGTAGTAGAGATACTGAGATTTTTGTCAGTAATACCGAAGGAGTTACTTTCATGGTCAAAATGAAGTTGATTCACACAGGTATTTGGTAAATTGAAGCAGACATTTAATTACTAGTTCTGACTTCCAAGTCAATCATAAGTGTTGGGTTTGCCAGGCATCATCATGTCAGGAGGTGTCTGTCTTTTGTCCTATTCTCAGTGCATTTTAGACCTGACCTAAGTTACCAAGCATCTATTCTGAACATTATTTTTGAGCGTTTTTCAAAGGACATTTGATGCTTGTTTTAAAGGTAGCAAACATTGTGCCATTTCAAAAGACAATTAAAAGATTTTTCGTCATTAATTTCCACTTTTTTTAATTGTCTGATGATTTTTATAATTGCCCAAATGATTTTGTCAAATTCAGTGATAGTCTTTTGAAAGATGCTTCACTTGTTTTGCAACTAACTTTTAAATGACTTAATATTCAGAGTAAAGTATAATCTGTTTAATTAAACCATGTAGAAATAGTTAAGCAGAAATAATTTATTTAAAATTATTTTTAATATATTCTAAGAGCTCAAAAATGCTCTTTTATTTTCTGTTTGGAAACATTCTGGGTCAAATGGTTTAAAAGACAGAAAAGATTGTTACAAAGACTTTGCTTATTTAACAGCATTTACAACTGTAATAGAAAATAATGAAAATTAAAAACATAAAGGCTGCAAATCTGCAAAGTGTGATGCTAAATAGAGAGAGTAATAACTGAAAATAACTTTTCCGTAACTGTAAAGAAAATTAGGCTAAAGTTAACACAGGCTTTGGAAGGGAGGAAACAACAAATATCTCTGTATTGTTTTAATAGTTCTGGGGCTTTTTTTCTTCTTGAAAAAAGATAAGAAACTCATAGTATAGACTTATGTCACTCCATTAGAGCTGAATGCTTTTTCTTCTTGTGGCTTCTCTGTACATCTTTGATTTGACTGATGATGATATTGTATGGTGTTAGGAACATTGGTGTTGCTGCATTAGCTCAGTAGTTTCTTTGATTTTGCAACAGAGACCAAGAGAGAACAGAACAAGATACGCAAAAGTACAATGTAGTTTTGAACAGAAGGAGCAAGCCTCTCAAGTTCCTTTATAATCCTCTACAGAGAGTGGTGGGATTACTGGAAAAGCACATTGCTTTGGGTTAGTCATTAGGAATTTTGATAAATTCTGAATAAGTTCTGGAAAGATGCAGTCAAGCTCAATTAAAGAAAAAGATCACAAGACTGGAAAACCCTAGCTGTACCTAGTGTTCAGTAAGCCAGGTGAGAGGTGTAGAATAAAATCCTGATTGTAATGAAGTCATTGGGAATTGTACTTGTTTTCAGAGGGGTAGGGCTTTCATCTTTTCACTGTAAAGTTGATATGTATTATTGAATACAGTTATTTAAAAAAAAAAAGACAAAACATGAGTCTTGGAGCATAGTTCTCATTATAAAGAGATTTGCAAGACTTTTGTTCATCAAAACTATAAATAACTAGTAAGTTCTGTTTCTGCAAAATATTTAGGGGCGTAATTTAATACTGTAAACTTCAGGTCATCACTATGGCTTAATATTAAATAGTGATGGAAACTGTGCTTGTACTGGGACTTCAGTCGCTATCAGCCATCTGATCAGTGCCCAAGAGTGATTGCTCATCTTGGTTTAACAGTTTCATAGTGACCGTACATTACTACTATTTAATTAATACAACATTGCTAATCTTAACCTGTGGTTGAAAATTGTTTGGGAAACTGACATTCTGGTGTGATATGAGCAGCCTGTCTTCATACGTGTGCTGAAGATACTTAGACTTTGCATGAGGCTATTTTAGTAATTCTTTGGGGAATGTTCTTCCTCTGTTGTATTTTTCTTAAAACCAGAAATATTGTATATGAAGATTTTACTCTTTTTTTTTTTTTTTTTTTTTTTTTTTTTTTTTTTTTTTAAAAATTATAAAATTTTTTGGGTTGGGA